TATTAAAGTTGATATAATCTAATAATATTTAATTTAATATTAAAATTAAAATATTTATAATATTTAATATTAAATTAATAGATTAATCATATATAATATTTAAAATTAAATAATTATATATTGTGCAACTTCATCTTCAACTGTACAACAACAGCATATAAAGCCTTCATCCTACTATATGAGGTCGCCTACATGAATAATTTTTCTCCATTGATCTTCAACTATAATATTATTTATTAATCTATATCTAGTTGATTAATAAATTATTAATCTATATTTACTAATCCGAGTTATAAAATTTAAAGTTAATTAAATTTTGACTAAATATTTTGATTTTGAATTTTATCATTTATCTTATTTAAATTTTCATTTTTTTCTAAAAATTGTTTCTTTGGATTTTAAAATGTAAAAAAAAAGGAAATTTAAAAATGAAATAGTTATAATATAAAACCTAACATTTTTTATCCTTTTTAAATTAAATTATATTACTTCCTTCCCTTTTTTAGAATATAAATTTATATTCTAAAAATGAAATAGTTATAATATAAAACCTAACATTTTTTATCCTTTTAGCTTTCAAATAAAACCTAACATTTTTTTATCCTTTTAGCTTTCAAATAAAACCTAACATTTTTTATCCTTTTTAAATTAAATTTATATTGTGTTTCTTCTCCTAAATATGTCTTGAAACGTGATCTTTTAAAAATTTGCCCTTAATATGACGTCGGAAAATGAGTAACCAAAACTTCAAAATTAAAATAGCTTGATCTATAGTATTATATAAGATATTTCTATTGATAGCGAAGATAAATGATGTCAAAATGATTTTTAGAAATATCATTAGGCTTCATTTGGAATAGCTTTCGTACTTTTTTTAAAAAATTTGTGCAAATTAACTATTTGTAGGGTGAGTTGAATGATCATGATTGGTTAATGAATATGATCAAGAAGTTAGATATAGTATTCTTAGTGTTAGGCCATGAACCCAGCATACAACTTGAGGAGCAAACTCGCATAATATCAGCCATAAAAGAGGCAGGAAATATTAAGGTATATCTAATCTTGAAATTCATTTAGAGTTTTCTTCAACCCAAATATAATTCAAATCAAATCAAAATTTTAATCTTAATAAACATTTTTACAAAATATGGGTATATTGTAAAACATATATAATAATATTTCTGTTTTTTATATAATAAATTAAAATTAAATTTAAATATGAGTTAATTTGGATATTAATTCATAGTGATTTGGAATGCAGAGATACTTCCCATCTGAGTTTGGATTTGACGTTCATAGACTTCAAATTTTGGAACCTGCAAAAAGGGTGTTAGCAATAAAGGTTAAGATAAGAGAAGCCATTAGAAAGGAAGGTATTCCCTTCACCTTCGTGTCAAGCAACTTTTGTTGCTCCTATTTTCTTTCAAGGCTTGGGCAGATAGAAGCAACTGGAATTCCTACTGATACAGTTTTCGTCCTCGGAGATGGAAACACTAAAGGTTATCAATTATCAACGCCTCTTTGCATTCATGCATTTATTCTCTCATTAAATTTTTAGATTGGGTAATATATCATATGCAAATGTTTATATTTGATAATGTTGGAAATTTATCTTTCAAAGTTAAATTTTAATAAATTCAAAATTATAATTTCATACAAAATACAACTCTCAAACTCACAATAACTATTTAGAATCTTTGCTTCTTTTATTGGTCCTTTCTTTTATCTTCGAAGTTTTTTTAAGTCATCTAAGTAACCTTTGTATCGTGTAACTTTTGTGGTACCTACTTTCTTTCATCTGTCGTTGGTTGCTCACTTTCTTCTTCCTTCTAAATGTCAAGAAATTAAAAATTACTCATCTTCACATATTTTTTTCACTCGTAAAAATCTTATTCATCAAACTCTGCATCATAATTAATAAGAGACTTGCTGCTAATTGGATTATAGAGCTTGCAGCCCTTAGAGCTTGATTCATAACTAATAAATACATATTTTTTACTATTATAATCAAGTTTTGCTCTCTTATTATCTATAACATGAAAATAAGCTACACTTCCAAAGACTTTGTGATAAGAGACCTATGGCTTCTACCTACTCCATGCCTATTATGAAGTTCCTACATGATTACTTCTTATAAGAGATTGATTTGTTAAGTTGAATGCACAAGTGAACTATTTGGCTCAAAACACTTTGGGCATGCTTAAAATCCAATCTTGAAAATGATTTGATTCTTATCCTATGCCAATCTATTTTGTTAAGGAGATATTAGAGTCATATAAGGGTGGGTGCTTTCTAACATCTTCAAACAAGTTAGTTGCCTCCTTTCACCTATCATCATTTAGCAAATTATTGATTGATTGATTCCCCTCTTTTACAAGCAATTGAGACTTAAATGAAAAGCCGCTATTCTAGATTCCCCATTTCATTACTAAATCTAAATTATATTATGCTAAATTTAAAAAAAAGATTCTACAATTTGTTTGCAAGTAATTTTAGGGGAGTTTCATAAAAATCAAAAAGTGGTCAACTAATTATGATATTTTTATATAATTTCCAATCACTCATATCATGATTGATTTTCCTTGCCTTTAAGTTCATCTATTTGATTATTATGTTCTTCCCTTTCTTATTATTTGATAAACACTTACACACTCTAAATCTTATTTTTTCTTTGGGGTATTAGCTAAGGTTGATATATCTCCTATTAATTCCCTTTGGGGTTGTTCAAAGGAGTGCGTTTATGAATAAAGATTAGTGATAAAAAGTTTCTTTAATTTTATAACCAAAAGAACTTATTTGAGCATGAGACTTGTGTTAATGTGGAAAAAGCAACTTTAGAAGAAAAAAAACTTCATTGAAAGAATAAAAAACAATTAATTGTAGAAAGATTTTCACTTGGATGACTTCTTTCTTCTTTTTGTAGGATCAATTTTAGACAGGTTTTAGAACTACTATATTTTCAATTTTTTTTTTTTACATGAAAAAGCTTCTCCTCTTCATTAAAAAAGCAAAAAAATAATTAACATACAAGGAAGATAAAACTTTATTTTAATCAAATTTCTATCCCATACTATTTCAACCAATAAGATGAGCCGATCGAGCGAAAGTTAACACAACTTCTAATACTTTGATATCAAAATATGTAACTTCAAAATGATTAATCCATATATTTCTTTTCTTGTGCCTCTTAAATCCTACTAAGACTGGTTCACCAAAGGAAAATGTTTAAGACAAATCATAGATAACATTGCCAATTCAGCTTTAACAAATTTTAAATTGACTTCCAGTTACAAAAACAACTGGAAACATTTCTATATCCCTCATCATCATTATTTTGGCATCACAATGCTCCACATGGATGTAGTCATATTTGTGGATGAGAACGATATTGCAACATATGCCATCAAAGCAGCAGAAGATAAAAGAACTCTAAACAAAATCCTCTATATGAGGCCTCCTGCCAACATCTACTCCCACAATGAACTCATTTCTCTTTGGGAGAGGAAGAAAAAGATAGCCCTTAAAAGAATATGCGTTGCAGAAGAAGAGGTCCTTAGAAGATAAATGGTAATGTATTTAAGCCTGAACTCAAAATGCTCCAGAAATATAGAATGCATGTCAAATGCTTCAGATAGTTCTATGATTTTTTTTCCCTGCAATTCTTACAGAATGTCCTCAACCATTCCCTTTCTTTTATGCAATTGCTCATGCCGGCTTCATCAAGGGGGAAACAACAAAATTTGATATAGATCCAACGGTTGGAGTTGAGGCTTCCCAACTATACCCAGATGTCAAATACACTACTGTTGAAAATTTTATGGATCAATTTCTGTAAGCTGTAGCTTACTCAAACTAAGCTAGCTTCATGCATCGCAAAATGCTTTACTTTGGCTGTAACTGTTCAGGCAACGAACTTAATGCGAAGTAATTTGATGCTACAGGTTTTCTATATTATTATTGTTTACCACAAAGATGAGTCGAGCTACAATACGTTATTTATTTATTTTTTTATCGAACACACAACCTAAATGAGTAACGCGTGTCAACAGCGTGTCAAGCATGTCAACACATGAAAGAATCAAATACTGCACAGTTTAGGTTTCGTTTGAGACGGCTTTTTTACTGCAGCTTGAAGCAATTTTTTAGTAAAAAATTTTTAATTTTTATGCTAAAAAACTGCTTCAAGAAGCATTACAAAAACCGTCCCAAACGAAACCTTAATATTATAAAATAGAGAAATTTACATGCATACCATAAAATTCTTATATTTTATGTATTTACATATCAACTACATGTCAAGCATATCAACACATGAATGAATCAAATACTGCATAGTTTAAGTTTCATTTGGGACTGCTTTTTTACTGCTTCATGAAGCAACTTTCTAATAAAAAAATTTTAATTTTTATACTAAGAAACTGCTTCAAGAAGCATTAAAAAACCCGTCCCAAACTAAGCCTTAATATTATAAAATAGAGAAATTTACACGCATACCATAAAATTCTTATATTTTATGTATTTACATATCTAATATATGAATATTTTATAATAAGTTATATACCACTTTGGTGCTACATCCCATCAAAATATATGTTTTACTTCAAATAAGTTAATATTAAAGATAATTTTAATGTAATTTAGATATTTGAATATTAAATAAGTAAATATACAGATTTAGATGTTATGCACATAATATATAGAGTTTTTTGGGTATATATGTAAATCCCCATGTAAATAATCGACGGATCACAGCTTCAAAGGAATAGTATTTAAAGTTTCTTTTATTTTATTTGCCTACAAATATTTGATTATTCAGCAAAGTTCAGCTTGAAAAAATTATTCATCAAGTACTAAGATTTATGCCACAGGGCTTGTGCTGATGTTGCTCAACAAATGAGACAACTATATATTGTTAAGATAGAACCAATGATAATCAAATAATCTTATCCTTCCTAATTCATATTGGGGTTTGGCAATCCAAAACTATATATAGATAAGCCTAAAATCGACTATTTCTAAAGCCAAAAAATTAGAAAAATAAAAGGAATGTAAAAAGCAACTAATCAATTAGCTGTAAGAATTTCTTACCACTCAGTTGGTCCTTCGGCACAATAATTCAAGATCAGATACAAAGGCCACTGCTGTAAGGGCTGATGCTTCACGTGAAGTTCATGAATGTAATAGGCTCCATGCCCAGCCAATCTATAATAGTCACAAAAAAATAATGCGAGTCATATGAAATGCAATGAGTGAAATGGAAGTTACCCAAGTTCCACTGCAGGTAACTAACTACCTGACTTCAGCCCTCTGTAATTTTTCTCATCATATCAACCTCAGTTGCTGATGAGCTCCCGAAGAAGAATAAAGAATTCTCCAGTTGATAAACCCAACTGGAACCATTGTTCCAACTAACCCAAGAGAATATAAGATAAGAATAATCAACGGGAGCAAGATGAGATATTACCTCAACAGTGTTCAGATTGTCAGTATAAGTATCTGCACTTCTGAATCATCTCCAGCACCCTTGTGAACTTCTCGATTACCACCATCACTTGTGATAGGCTTCTATAATATGGTTCCCATCCCAAGTCCACCTCGAGGTGACTCGGGCGACAAATCTAGAGCATAAATTGCAGCTTATCTGGGCTGTTCTGTACAATTTGTCACCATTATTTCATGCATGATGCTATCAATCATGCAGTTCCCATCTTAATTTAGTTCTTGCACAACTTGATTTAAATAATGTAAACGAACTTCATTCTGAGTGTTTCAATCAAACATATAATGTATTTATGGGCTATCCCACCCTTTCTCGCAGCCTCAACGAAGATGAAACTTTGAATGAAGAGAAGTCTCTGCATCAACAGTTCTGGAAGTGCATTGTCAAGATCATCCTCTGTACATGACAAAATAATTATATCAATTTCAACAGTTGAACATTTGTAATCAAATGCATTGACAAGAAAATTTGTTAGGCAACAAGCAATGTGCTAGTATTTCAAATGTAAATAGGAAAATTCAAATCAATACTAGTACAAGAAATGCAGAGCTCGGCACAACAATGTTCACAGGAGCACATAAAAACCCTCTCCACACAATGCAACCGCAACGAACCTTCTGCATCAGCTCCAAGGTTCTTTCTAAAATTATAACAAATTTTAAGAAAATAAAGTCCCAAGCGTAGTCTGCATAATTTAAGAATTCACCAATGGATCAGCAAAAGGAACAGAAATTTCAGTAGCTTGATACCAGAAGCTACCATACTTCCCAAACCATTATCCGGAACAAGATTGGGAGCTTTGTTAACCACATATTGTTGCGAAGTCTCAACAAGTTACAAATAAATCTACTCTTTTAAGTTTTAACAAGAACTGCAGATTTCACAAACAAAACAAAGTAAAAAAATTTCACTGTTTTCTAGTATGGAAGAACTACACGCATCTAATAAAAAGGAATGAAACATTAGATAACAGTATAATATGACATTACTCTTTGAATGAATAAAACACGCGTGAATTTTTAACACATTTAGGAACAGATGAAATTTCTGTAACACATAGCAGTGACATAAGTAATGTCAGATTAGTATAGATTACATCCTCCCACTAGAAAAAAGAGGAGTACAGGACCACATCAATGTTTTATGACCTACATAATTAACAGATAAAATTCGAATGACAAAAGGGCTTAAAGATAAGGATGGAAGTTGGTTCATGTCATGCTTGGACCTGACAGTTAAAAGATCAGTCAGGTCCAGTCTCAGAAAGGTCAGAACCATGACTTCAACTAACTAAGAACAATCAAGTTTAATCAATCATAATCTGCATTTACAACACACTTATAATGCAGGTTCACTAAGAATAATTATGTCAGGTTTCTGGTCCGGGAAACAAGTTTCTTTTCAAAGTAGAATTCTGTATCAGGAAAGGACATCATTATTTCCGCCCAGCATCTGCTTCTCTTCCTTTACCATCAGAATCTAGATTCTGCTCAAGATAATCCTCTGCAGGATTTTCATGACTTAGTTCTTTGGTTCCCTTAGGAATTTCCCCAAGTCTTTCCTGCAGTGTTGCACTTGAAGTTAATACCAATATATGATGTTCCGGAGGCAGACTAGGAACACGAGAGAAACTTCTACCTTGAGAGATGCGTTCTGCAAAATAAGTTGTTCATGCTCCTTCTTGATCCTGTTGACCTCCGCTCTAAGAGAAGCATTTTCCTCTTTCAAAACTTCAACCCGGTGAGCCAGTTCCTCACACTCCGCCTGGAGCTCATAAAACATTACTACTAATCTTACAATATTTACAAGTCAGCACGACCAATCCACTCTACACAATTCATGCATCCAGAAAGTTCAAAGGATACTATCCTGAACAAAATGCAAGCATCTTACCTGTTTACGGAGCCTTGATCGTCGTGCTGATTCCCTGTTGGATTGCTTTCTTTTCTGCCTCTTAAGCTCTCTTTCATCCTAAAATTTCGAAAAGCATAAACATAATGTTAAATGGTAACTTCAAGTGTATAAGCAATTCTACATTCAAAAGTAGAGGAAAAAACACCTTTCAGTACCATTAAAAAGATCAAACATCTGCAGGACTATAATCAGACAATCCAAAACTTTAAAAGATCCAAGCAGGAAAAAAAAAAGTGCCGAAATCTGACAAACAAATTTCTAATTTTGCCATCCTATGACCAGAGCACCCGCACTAAATTATAATTTCTATGATAGGGATACAAGCTTTCTACTTCAACTTCAACAATGTTTAAAAAACCTTTATTTGGAGGTCACTGAAACATTTAGAAAATGTCTCATAAATTCTAAACTGTTATTTTTATATTAATATTTACAATTAAAGTGAAACTCATCAACTTAGTTTTGAGGAAGAAACCCATTCACCAAGCATGTGCCATATTATAAAAGCATAAATAAAATAAATAAAACCTCAATCATTGTTTTTCATGTAATAAGATAAATTAAGCTGAATTAACATTCCTTAGGTTGCACAATAGTTGGAGTGGGATGTGATGCATAAACTTGGAGCTCAGGTCAACGCACAACAACATACAAAGTTAAACTTTTGGAGATTTGTCACATGATGCTAGCAGAAATACTGCATATAAAAAGGTAAAAATAATACCAGTATGAACCATTTCCATTATGATAAAATGTGCTGTTGTGCCATGTCCAGGCATGGCATATCAAAAGTTTTGCAAACAATCCATTACAAACACATGTAAATTGTTTATCAACATCGAAAATCACAAGATACCAAAGCACAAAGGAGTGGGACAAGAGAAAATCAGATGAATGGAACTTCAAGAGCTATATCATCTAAATGGTCAAAAAATTTATAATAAAAAATAGGTACACCAGACTAATATATATCCTGGTTTAATAAATCCAATGGGAACCGATGCATGAAAACAAGAGAATAGGGGAACCCTAAACAGTCATATTGAACTATCTCTAAACTTAAGCTCCATATCATAAATATTGAAATATATGTTTCCATCACTAATACCAGCATTTGCATATCCATCCAGCTTAGTCAAATAAATGATTGAAACTATGGGCTTTAATTAAAAAACACGTGATGATAACTTAACCAACAATTTAGAATTACAAGATGCATGGTTCTATGATGGGGATCTATGAATCACTTCTATGCAAAAAATCATAGTTTAAGAAATATATCAAAAGGGAGATATGTAAGTTCGGTACAGCACGGAAGGAAAAACACATAGGCAAGCAAAATGGTTACATTCATCTTGAAAATCATTGTAGTATGGCCTTTAGGAATAAAATTAAAATTTCCTATGTCAGTTGTAAGAGTTAGTATTCCCATTAAAGCTTTCATTGGGCAGGGACAAAATCTGAAATACCTGCATCCATAATTCTGATGTTGCACCAGGAATCATGGGCGTTGCAACTGCAGTTGCAGGGACCTTACCATGAATAGGAGGGATGGTTGATGGGTTTGTTGCACCCCAGAAGTCCATCCCTATGTTCAAGTTTGTAGTCGGACCAGTAACAGTTCCTGTTGGCATAGGCACAATTGCCATTGTCTGACCAACCATTGATTGAGCAGATCCACGAGCAGTTCCATTTTGCAAACCATGAGCTGTGGTGCCATGAGCATAGTTACCATTCTGATGTGTTATGGCTGATAAATCAACCACAAATATAGACTAACTATTAGAATAAAACGTAAGGCCATACAGTTACAGGAAATGTTTCCATGTGCCTACCATCAGAAGAATTTTGAGCATCACCAGTCTTTTGTGGAGAATCCTATACAAGATTACGGACAAAAAACATCAATAGTTACTAATATTGAATGCAGAAAGATCAAATTAAGAATATTAATAGCTAATAAGTAATAATACAGAAGGATCAAATGGATACACCTAACAGATATGCCATTTTTATTGCATTTTCATATGACCATTTAATGTTAGAGGGAGGGCGGGAGGAAATCTGCATCGTGGGAATGTAGCTCAACAAATTGCCATAAACTTTCAAACATCATTGGTCCAAGGGTAAGGTCAGTACATTCAAATCAAGAGCTAATTCCAGCAAATATAAGTTATTGGAGAGTAAGCATTTTTTATCAATGAAAAAATATAAGTGCTGTAATATAAGCAGCCGCATAAAAAAATACAGTATTGCACATAAAGATCGAACAAAGACTACTAAAAGTTCCTTAAGTAGTGCAAAATCTAATATGGCTAGGCAAGTGAGAAGATACACTATGTTTGAACTTCTTTCAAACATAACGCATAATGCTAGCTGAGATGCTAGTTTTCAAGGCATGCTTTTCCCAGCTCCTAAAGTTCGGTTCTTTAATAACTTTATTTTTTGAGATAAAAAAGTTTAGTTGCCTATTTGCTTTCCTGCCTATTGGCGCAATGTGCTCCTTCGGCAAAATCATGGCATTGACTTGTTGCTGACCTCAAACATGAAAGAAGAATTGATCTTTTTTTTTTTTTTTGGGCATACAAAAGTTCATATCTAACAAAATAAGAATTAAGAAGGAATAAATCAAAGTATAAAATAAACCTCTTCCTTACATTTTGGGAATTGGCATCACTTCCTTCACTTGAGGCTTCACTTCCACTATCCCCACTAAACAGGACAAGTAGCATAAAAAAGTACTCAATCAGCATAAACAAAAAACATCCACAATATGTTTGTCAAATATATCTTCAAATAACCTTTGTGAGTATGCCCCATTGCCTGATGCTGCTGAATTTTTTCCAAGTTCACTGTTCTTTCCAGTAATCAAGTTCAAACTACCAAGACTTCCTTTTGATCTCTTGATTGGGCTTTTCTCCTTACCTTCAGAAGACTTTCCCTCAGCTTCACTACCAGGAAAAGCACCCTGAAAGTGCAATATAGGAGATATTAGTGAATGCTCGATACCAAGGAAGAAGCAGACCATATGAAGCATAAACAAGTAGAAGAACATCATTGCAACTTACAGAAGCTTCCGCATTTCCATTAGGAGAAGCCATTGCATAAGGACTAAATGGGAGTGAACCCTGCTCAACTCAGCAAACCACACTATAAGAGTTAGAGGAATTTGAATTTAATATGAAAAAGAAAAAAAACAATACAAAGGTTAATCTTCTAAATTGCAACAAATGGAGAGCACAGAGTTACTAAGAGCATACAGGAGCCATCGGAGGATGCGCATATATTCCTCCATGTGGATACATGACATAGGGAGGTGGTGTTCCATAAGGAGGCATGAGATGCTGCAAGATGTAAAATACAAAGAAATTTAAGAGACAATTCCACAAGTCATGCCGAGTGAAGAGTACAAGTCACGCAGAGTGAAGAGTAAAGCATATTGAAGTTTGCAGATAACTAAGGCTCTATTTGGAAATGTTATCCAGTGTTGCGTTGTTTTGTACTGTGCTATTTTGTTAAGAGTAAAGTTGATAAATATTTCGTAAAATATTTGTTTAGATTGTTGTCAAGAGTTTTGTATAAAAGCTAAAGTCATTTGATAAAACCTGTTGAGATACTAATATAAATTGGTTAAATAAAAAAATTAAATTCATGTTAAAACTTATTAAGTATCAAAATTATATGAGTATTTTTATCTTAATAATTTATCAATGACATTAACCATACTAATCAGGTTAATTTACAACCATTATTATTACTCAATATCTAGCTAACTATTAATGCAATTATTAATTAGTTAATGACCAATTGAATAATTTATAAGCTAAACATTAAATATGTCTTGGGTCTATTATTCAGAGTGATGGTGAAATAGATGGGGATAGTTGGATGGTTGATGCGGAGGAATGCATCGGGCTTATTGTGTGGTAGAAAATTCCCCATCAAACTTAAGGGAAAATTCTATAAGATGGTGGTGAGACCTGCAAGGCTTTATGGTATAGAATGTTGGCCATTAAAAAAGAAGCATGATATTAAGTTAAGTGTTGTAGAGATGAGGATGCTTGGGTGGATGAGTGGCTTCTCTTAGAGACAGGATTTGAAATAAGCATATATGTAAAAATGTTGGAGTAGCTCAAGTGGAAGATAAGATTAGAGAGAATTGCCTTAGATGGTTCAGCAACATAAAACAACGTCCTTTCGATGACCCGGATAGGAAAGTAGATGTTTAGATTTGGCTTATATTAAGAAAGGTAGAGGTACACATAAACGGACTTGGATAGAAAATATTAGAAATGATATTTCTTTAATAGATTTAAATGAGAATTTGACTCTTAACAAGACAGTGGAGAAAAAGAATTCATGTAGCATACTTCATATAGTGGGATAAAGGCTTGATGATGTTGTTGTTGTTATTGTAGCTACTCATTAAATATTTATCATAATTATTCTATAATTATAAAAATTAATCTCCCAACTTTACTACAATAGTCATTGATTATAACAAATAACTTAATCCCCTAAGAATCAATTCATACATAATTATTTAGAATACTCCTTTTCATTATTAGAGAGTCATCATAGATGGTTTGGTCACATAAAACGACGGCCATTCGATGCTCCAGTTAGGAAAGTAGATGTATTAGATTTGACTTATATTAAGAAAGGTAGAGGTAGAACTAAAAAGGCTTGATTAGAAATTATTAGAAATGACCTTTCTTTATTTGATTTAAATGAGAATTTGATTCTTAACAAGACACAATAGAGAAAAAGAATTCATGTAGCCGACCCATAGTGGGATAAAGACTTGCTGTTTTTGTTGTAATTCTTTTCATTATCAATGCATTAGTTGTCATCTAATAATTAATTAGCTTATTTAATCCCTAATGGTAAAAATTAATAATAATAAATAAATATCGTACTATTAAATGTGCTTAATTAATTAGACTACTTATCTTTTAATCAATCAATTTATGATAATTTTAATTGCTTGACAGCTAATTAGAATGCATTATAATCACAATGATTATTTAAAAATTATTACACAAATTTGCAATTTAAGCTAATTAACAATAGTTATTTAATATCTAATCATTAATTAATAATTAACTATTCAAACTTTGGAAGCTGTTGCAAAGCTCTTGGGATCAAATCCACCATAAATAAAATTTATACTTCTACACTCAACTTTCATCAAAAACTCTACTAGACTATTTATTTTACATTAATTAATTTATGGATTATTTATCATCCTGATGAATAACTAATAAAAATTAGCTTAATTACTTTGCTACTTTCACAATTTAAATATTAATTAATACCCAAATATCAATTAATTAACAAATATATGACTAATTAGAATGCTTGATTAATTAGAACACATATTATCTTAATATTAATATAATTATTAGTTGACCTACTTAATTCTTAATTTACCTAGGTAGTCACAAAAGTAGTCAACATGTGACTGATTTTTAATTTATTATCCTAATTATAAATTTAAATATTTATTTAAAAAAAATATTCAAAAAGATACTGAATTTATGACTTTAATTAATATTTGATTAATCAACTATTTAGTCTAATTTAATATAAATTTTCAACTAAATCATTAATGGGGAGCCAGTCTATGCATTTTCATAATAAAAAGTGAAAATTAAATTATGGGAAAAAGCACTTTCAAAGCTATATTTTTCTCACAGTAGATGATTTGTTATTAACCAGCCCCCAGAAAATTGATAATAATTTCCGTATAACATAAATGATTGCAGACATTATTAATAAGTGAAGCCGCTATATTAGACGTAAGAAAGAAAATAGAAACACCTCAACAATTAAAGCTAGTTTTAGAGCTATGTATACAAGAAATAAGAAACTATAACAAGCTTCTGAAACAAATTTAGGATTTGCTGAATTATATAAATATATATTTTACTCCCAGAGTCTGAAAAAATATAGATCCCAAAACTAAATTGGAAACAGAAGGAATTGAAAGCATATAGCCTTAGAGCTACAGTTTCTCTCTCAAAAGCATATGCTAGCTAACGATTAGGTGCCAACAATATTGAAGCTGATAACACTGTACTTCACGTGTCACCTAACTGAATCTATTATGACAAACAGAATGTCATCTTCAAAAATACCATTTACGGATCATGTTAATTGTAACCAATATGTTAAAATAGATACATTTTTCTTAGCACATTCAAGTAGTAAAAACAGATGGTACAAAAATCATGGTTTAAACACAAGATAAAAAAAGAGCTTAAGAAACAAGAATATTTAGGTATTTTCCTAACAAAACCTACTATTTTTCAAGCTTGCATGAATACAATCCTCTCCGTTTTCTGATCAGAATTCAAATCTGAAAATTGCCCTCTCATCATAGTACTGCAAGTACAATTTAAACAGCCGAATCATGTCAAATGTGCTAAGAGCACCTCATAAACACAAGGATGTGAAGAAATCTATTACTTAAGAGGGCGTTTAGGATCACCTTTGTTTTTTAATTTAACATGAAATAAAGCATATTTGGTAACATAAAACTATATTATTTTTGTTTATTTATGCATTGATGGCGATAGTTGTCAGTGGTGCAATGACAGTGGTGGCAGCAATCAAAAATAGCAACAATCTGCAACAGTCGCCAGCGGTCGCAATGCCTGCCGTTAGCAATGATATTTGCTTTTAAAAACACAAAGCGCTGTCAAGAGGATTTTTAAAAATATTTTGAATTGTTGTTAGTATGCCAACTTCAGCATGTCATTTGGTTTTGATTACTATTTTTTTTCAAGTCATTTCAATTCAAAATTAAAAATATCTAAATTTATTACTATTTTTTATCCATTGCAATGATGAGAAAAGTTCTTTTATTTGATATTTAATATTAAAAAAATAGCATTGATTTCTTGAAAACTTCACGCTCTCTCCCTTACAAATAATCTTTGAGGCAATTGAGAACCTTTTCCGCTTCCATTTGCACCATGACTTTCTCTCTCTTCTTTTTAGAAGGCCAGCCACTTTTGCATATGTAATGTTTGATATTGCTTTTAAATTTTTATTTGGCGGTGAATTTTAAGGAATTTGCTCTTGATAACTTTGAATGTCATAAGGAATTTTCTTTGTGAGGGCGCAATGTAATAAATGATACTGCTTTTACATTTTCCTTTAGTGCTGAATAGTAAGAGAACTTTGAATGACATAAGGAATTTTCTTGCTCCTATATAATAGGTATTTTTATATAGGAACTCTGTTGAAATCTCTTGTTTTGTTGTTTATATACCAGCTTCTGCATGTCATTTGGTTTTGATTACAATTTATTTTAAAAGTCACTTTAATTAAAAATAAAAAAAATATCTAAATTTATTACTACTTTTTATGTCCTACAATGATGAGAAATAAATTTTTTTATTTGAATTTAATATTAAAATATATAATTGATATGACATTTCCCAAAAAACATCACTCCCGCCCTTACAAATAATCTCTGAGGCCTTGAGAACCTTTTAAGCTTTCATTTGCTCTACAAGTTTCTCTCTTGTTTCTCTACTCTGAACCTCTGCATTTTGTAAGACCGTCTTTGTATTCACTTTGGATAGTTGGTTGCCGCTTAGAAGAAAAGCCCTTGGGCCTTCAAGGAATCTGCATAAGCCCACACTTCAGCGATTAAGCCCTTCCACACAAAGATTATGCACATGGGTTATTGTTTCACTGAAATGAATTTCCCTGTTTGATTTCTTAAGGCGAGTTCCCAAATACATTGCTTGGTGATAAGTTGTGCTTTAAAGAGACCAGTTTCAATTAGGTTTGTGACTTGCCATATGGCCAGAGACGGTGGATATTCTAAACTTTTATAGTCCACTCTAGCCAGGCTATCTCAATTTCTCAACATAAGCGAAGTTTCCCATAGAGTTTGTTTCTTCTCCATCTTTTGTCGCTCATGTTACAACAAGTTTATCAGTTCCTTTTGTTGATCCTCCAAATTGTACTTATGCTCCAAGCCTCCAATAACTACAACCCCATAAATTCAAGTCCTTCACCCCTACTACCACCGATCTCCCACCAATCCGCCCTCCTATAGCTAGACCTTCTGAGAATGTGAAGCCAACTCTTTAGAAGAAGGCAAATGAGGATTTGACCAAGAGAAGGGAAAAGGAGATTAGGCAAAAGATAATTGTGAGTAACACTACCGAGCAAAGAAAGCCGGTTTCTTTTAAAGTCGCTCATCCATCGAATGAGTTTAGAGCCTCTGTTCACAATGCTGAGAAGAAGAGTGTCTTCAAGTGGGATGCAAAGTGCGATACTCCCACAATCATTTTAATTTTGACCGAGCACTCCCTGAGGAGGAAGTCTCCCTAATAGTCTCTAATCTGAACCCACCAATCTTCTCAAAGAAATTAACTTTATGATGTGCGTCAACAAAGATTCACTTGGTGGCAATGAAATTTAATACAATGAGTTCGCAAGAAAACTTTTTGATGGCTCAAGGTTACGAGAGATTATCTAATGATCCCACAAGAAATCCAACAAAAAAAAATAGAATCAAAAGTTGATAAGTAAAAAAAAAAACTCTGAAGAATGAAAATGAAACTTCATTACAAATCATCGAGGATTTGAAGGTCGATTTATTTGATAAAAGAGACTTCCCTTCAAATGATGAATGCTGCATCATAAAAATATCAGCTACAAGTAACAAGTGATAATATAAAGCAACTTATTGAGCAGCTTAATACTTAAAAAGGCCAGGTGCAGTGTGCAATGACCAATGCCAAGGTCTCTGAAGCATTCATGGAATCCAAATCATATAAGAAAAGACTTGTATACCTCTAATAAGTCATCTTCTTGAATGAGCCTCACTTTTCGCCAAACCTTTGATCTTTATGTGAATAACATCTAACCTCGCCTAACATAAAGGATGGGTTCTCTACTCAATACGGATTTTATCGCAAAAGGGGAGTCCAAATTCTATGGCTAGACTTTTTGTTTTAGAGTTATATAAGACATTGAGATGCAATGCTTGAACTTTGTTAAATTCGTAAGGCTGGTTTTTGGCAATTTTAAAATGTTCCCTCAGAGTAAATAGTAAATAAGAATTTAAATGTAGATATTAAGTTATGCAAATTCAAAATTTTGTTATAATGAATATTCTAAGGGAATTATAGAACATTTGCTTTTAAGTTCATTAGATATATGTTTTCCTTAAGACTATTGTTTAAGAGAAAAGGCAACTTAGTTAAGCACAGATTGTCCATTTATTAGGGGGCATTAACTCCCATGCAATAAATGCCCTCGAAGCCTTTAAACTTGACCCTAATCCAAGATCATTCTAATCCCAAAGTTAAGTTATTCTACGTTTTATCTTTGGCTTGTTAAGTTCTTACATAGGCAAAAGTTTCTCTATAGTTGTTATAAACCTCTCTTCAAGTTTAAAGTTGGGCGAATTCAAATTAAAATTCCAAGCTTAGATCCAATTAACATCTTCACATATTTCCCCTATCCCCTTTTACTTGTCAAAATCACCTAGAGAGTTTAGTTCCTCGAGTTTCACAAAGGGCTTAGTTCACCAAGCTCATCAATTTAGCTCGGAACAAAATGGATTTGAATTAACCGACGAGTTCTTCAAATCTCCTTTGTTAAACTTGTAAGTTCAATGATGCAAAAAGTTTTATTTTTTGTGGAGAAAATGAATCGATAGATAAGCTCTAATTATTTACAAAGACGATGAAAAAACTTTTATGTTATGGGAAAAAAATTTTAAATCATCTCCACACCTAATTCTTGGGACTTCCTTCCCTATATATGTTTATAGCCAATATGCTCATGGACCGACTTGCTTCTTAATAATGTAAGGTCCTTCCCAGATATAACATAACATCCCAAGTACTGTTTGTCGAGTTGTGGCATCTACTTTTCTCAAAACCTAATCCCCAAAATTGAATTTCTTCTCCCAAACATTTGAATTGTAATACTTTGTCACCATCCATTTAACCTTTTCTTGTCTCATAAGGCCTAAATTCTAAGTTTCAACAAAAGATTCAAGATAGTTTTCATCCCTTTTTTTATTTTTATCCCTCTAGTCATCCAATTCTCCCTCTTCAAAATTTGAGTCCTCTACAACTTGTTGTGTAATTCATATTCGACTAGGAGTAGGGTTCTATCTTGTGTGATATTTCAAAAGGAGTTTGGTTAATTGCTGACGAAGGTGTTGCTCATAAAGCCTACAGAACAAATGGCAATCCTTCAATCTAACAAAAGACTTTGATTTTCTTGTCTAGAAAGTGTGGTTCATTGTCAGGGATTATCACCAATGAAGCTCATATTAGAAAATTTTGTTGGTCCAAATGATGTTGCAAATGACTTCGGATGTTGCCTTTGTCAGTGCTTTCTTTAATAAGAATTTGTGAAATGATCAATCATCAAAATAAACTTTCTCTGAACACTTACTAGATGAAAAAGACAAATCAAATCCATCCCCTAGGTAGGGATAGCCATGGGCTAGAGATTGGCTGTAGCTTGTCTGAAAGTTGAAGTTGCATTGGTGTAAATTTCTAACATTGCACAGATTTATTTGAAGATTTCTTCTACATCATTCCCTAATCTGAGCAAAAAATATCCTTGTTGATTTAATGTGCCATCGTTATTCCTCTTAAATGGCTCCCTCACATTCTCCTGAATCAATTTCTTCAAGAATTTTGCCAACTTTGATCTCTTTCATACATTTCAAATTGGTGGAGGTGACCGACTTTCTATCTACTCACCATCATGAGTAGGTATTAGGCGGTTTTTATTCGAAGACTTCAAATATTCTAAAGTTTTATCAACCCAATTCAACAAGATCTCTTTTTTAAATTTCTAACCTTTGCTTCTTCAATGCTGGAATGAGACAACTCCAAGGCTGGTCTCCTATCAAGATCTTCAATTTTTAAGAGCAAGTCCGCGAGCTGATTTTTCTTTCTTAGGATTTGTTCAATGTTTAAGTATTCAAACTTAACAGTTTCTTCATTTTCCATAAAGAGATATCTCTATAAGGTATCTTCCCTGACTTCGAATTGCACATTCACTTAGCTCGCCATGAGTTGAGTCTGAGAAAAATATTAGATGTTTAGCCCCAACTCCTACAACAAAAAGTCCAATCTGACAAATTAGTGCCTCATATTGAGCCTAGTTGTTGATTTGGAAGTTGATCTTCACAACATATGTGCCCATGATTCTTCTCATGACGAAAATTTGAATCGACTGTGTTAAAAATTCGATCTGTAGTCAAGCAGTGACAATTACTGCCCAAAATAAAATTTTTATCATTGAACACCTCAATTCAATCCCTCAAAGGATCATGCTCCGTAGTTGACAGGTCACTATTTTTTAGAGCCCTCTCTAAACAATAGGGAGCTGACAGCCTGTCCTACTCTAAGATATAAAAGAAATTACTCCCCAACTACAGATTTTGTGACAATGACAACTATGAGAGGAACAAGTTGAACTATTGGAAAACATCTTCACATTCTTCATTCCATGTAAAATGACTTGCATTTTAGGAATTTTGAACAATGTTTTGCACTTTTCTCCCAATTCTAAAAGAAGCAACTAAACCCAACAATTTACTCGGTTAGCTTTTGTAGCTCCTTAGTTGTTTTTGGGGAGGGCATTCCAAACTTGTTCTTATCTTGTTTGTATTTATTTTTGCCCCCTTAGGGCTGAACAAGAAACTTAAGAATACATCGAACCCAGCTCCAAAATATATACTTTGATAGATTGAGGTGCATATTGAACTTCATCGATGATGTGATTGCCTCCTTCAAATCCATAATATGTTATTCCGAGGTTTTGCTTTTTGCTAGCAAATCGTCCACATAGACTTTGATGTTTCTTCCTTTATGATGCTTAAACATTATAGTACATCCCTTTTTATAAGTAACCCCTACATGCCTTATGCCGAAAGATATCACTTCATAACAATATAATTCATCCACAAAGATGGAAGTTTTCATCTCCCAATTGACCGGATGCATTTTAATCCAGTTACAGCCAAAAAAAGTATCAAGAATGCTCAGAGAAACAAACTACCAAGTTGACTAGCACATCAATCTTAGGAAGGGGGTGTACATCCTTCATACATGTTAAGTTTAAAATAATGAAATCTACATACATTCTCCATTTGTCATTCGACCATCACCATATTCAAGATCCAATCAATATATTGAACTTCTTTAATAAACCCAACTTAAAGAAGTTTTTGAACCTCACTTCTTATTGGCTTATCTAGGACAACTGTAGCTTTTTAGATCTTTTGTTTAATATACCTTAGATTATTTTTTATGATGCACGGACACGGACACGTCGACACGGACACGACACGACACGGACACGGGACACGGCATTTTTTAAAAATATAGGACACGGGTGCGGCTTGGACACGGCATAATAATTTTTTAATATAATATATAGAAATTAAGGTAACATTATATTAAAAATTACAAGCAATAATTTATGTACACTAAAACTATTATCTAAGAGCGTGTATCTAGCGGTACTGAGCTTGTACCAAGCGGTATTGAGCATGTATTGCTCGGTACCTAGCGGTACCGAGCATGTACCTAGCGATACCTAGCGGTACCGAGCATGTACCTAACAATACCAAGCGGTACCGAGCATGTACATTAGCGTCGATGCCATTTATCAGTCATCGAGATAGGAGATGAAAATATCTTCACTGCCAAAAAGAAATGAAAATGAGAATATTCGATGATTGGGAATTAAGTGTGAACGTTGATTTGGTGTTGTGGATAGGAAATAAGAAATTTAGTTTAAATCCCGCAAAATACAATAAATTATATTTAAAAAAATTCATAAAATACGCGTGTCCAATTTGCATTTAATATTTTTTAATCGGACACATTTTCGGCGTGTCCGACACGTGTCAGAGAAGTGTCGGACGAGTGTCGTGTCGGTCACGGTGTCGGACACTACACGCCTCTTTGAGGAGAAGTGTCGGTGCATCATAGATTATTTTCAATGTTCAGTCAATAACAAAGGTTAATGTCTATTCATAACATTTCAGTTGTCGGTAAGGCAAAGAATTTTATATTTTCCCTAAAAGTTCTTAACAACTCTTCTCTATGCTCACCACTAAAAGAAGAGCTAGCGAAGAGTTCACCCTACGGTTTCTTCAGTGGCTGGAACTACTTCTATTGCATATGTAGACTCCAACCCTATTCCCCTCTAGACTTCCAATTATGATGCATAACACCTCCTCATACACACTTATCATTTTTATAAGATAGTAAGGTCTTGATTGCAATAAGTGCCCCTTTACTATAATCTCTTGTTTGCCAATTGGGAATTTCACAACAACATGGCAGGTCAACACCACGGGCATTGGAAGTGTTTAAAAGTGGTTAGTGGTCAATGAAAAATTGCATTCCACATTGTAGGGGTGTCTACTATGATGAAGTTTCGATGCAGCATTCCTCTTCTCCCCAAGTGATATGTAGTGTGATCATTCCTTTTCTCTCTTCTCCAAAAAAACCTTGAAGAGTGGACCAGTACTAGGCATTAAGCAAAAAGCATCCATATTCATATTCTCAAAGACACAAATGAAGATGATGTTTACATAGTTCCATGTTTCAATTAGAATACTCCTGATTTGATAATTCACAATTATAGCATTGTGACAAAAATAACATCGTTCTATGGGTTTCCATCCCTGCACTATTTGTGTTAGTGAAGGAGATGAGTAAATGTTTTATATAAGGAGCTCTAAAAAAATTCATCCAGTTCACCTCTATCAAACAAAGTTGCTTGAGGCTAGCTTGCCAAGAAACCTCTGCTCCCACCCCTTCGAGATTAACAATTACAACTCCAACTATGCAGATCGCTTAGGCCATGACTGGCTTATTTCTCAACTCCTTCCGCCTAAATCCACCAAATAAAATTCATTCAACTTGCCCACTTTAATAAGCCCTTCCACTTGGTTACAAAGGTGTTAATAATACTCCGTGTAATCCACGTGATCTTTATTGAAGGTACAATACAATGATAGATCCCAAGCATGAACTTTGAATGGGCACTGTTCGCTTAAAGAAATTATAGTTCTAGATGGCCTCTATAAGCTCAACATCGAAATCTCAATAGGGCGATAGTTGGGTGTAGAGGTGTAAATGAGTCGAGTCGAACTCAAGTTACCTAAATCAAGCTTGATTTGCCAAAAAAAATCATGAGCTCGAACTCGAGTCAAGCTTAAAAGTTGAGCTCAAGCTCAACTCGTGGCAAAAAAAAGAGCTTGCAACCAACGAAGAAGGCCGAAAGCATGCCATCACAGATGAAGAATTAGGGTATCGCGTGAAAAGAAGTTGATTTATTTATTATATGGAACTAGTGTAATTTTATTAATGCAAGGCTTCATGTTAGCTTTTTGTTAGCTTTTTTAAAATGTTAGTTGTACTAGCAGCTTTTGTAAGAGAAAAAAATTTAGCTCATTTAAAAAAAAATCAACTATAGTATTAAAAAAATCCCTATCATCTATTATATTAGGAGCCAGCTCACGCCCCAAGCCTCATCAAGCTCGAACTCGATCTCATTTATTAGATGAGCTCGAGCTCGTGGCTCAATAAGCTCAGCTTGCGAGCTCGATATCAAGTTGAGCTCGAGCTAGCTCACGAGCCAGTTCAACTCACTTACACCACTAGTTGGGTGCTGGTGAGTAGGAGACGACCTCTCCCTTCTCCTAAAGTTAGGTTATTATTTAATTTAAAGTCATTCCTCTGACTGTTACGAACTAAGTGACAATTTCTTGAAAGTGTGACCTCCTCTCCAACCTCAACATGCTTAACTTCCATCTTCTATTAGAAATAAACAAGAACTTTCCCCTACAATGAAATCTCATGGGAAACTAGAGGATTAGGCAGTTGATCCATTATTATACGTTTCAACACTATATGAAACCTCATCATGAAGGTTCTCATTGCTAGCCCTTCTCAATTCATTGGGGAGGGGGAATGGATTCTTTGTTGTCATCTAGATAATAAATTTTTCCTACTGTTGATGTGGTTATTAGTGCCCTTTCACTTGATGGTTTTCTTTGAATGATCAAATTAGAAAACCCTTCCAGTATCTCCAACCCTGCAATGACTCTGGGAATGCATTTCAAGGCTCCTTGAATATCCTTATAAGTTATAAGTTTCTCCATGTCCATCAATTTCCCATGTGTAATGAAGTCTTGATGATCCATGTTGATTGATTTTTCCCTATTTTGTTCAACTGCTTCTCATGGTGCTTTATTTCTAATACATAGCATTAATTAAGCCTCATCACACCTTTGAAAATGCTAGATTGAAATTTGTTTATGGGCAACACCAACACTTTACTCATGAGATTCATAAGGTATACATGACAAAAAAATATAGAGATAAAGAACAAGAGAATAAGAATTAAAAGAGAAGCTCTGAGATTTCACTATATTGTTCAAAATAAAATTAATTGCAAAAATGACTCAATCTCTAGGCTTCCCCTTTGAATGCCAATTTATAGGGTTAGGCTAAGAGTTTTGGCGCAACAGGAAAAGCTATCCAAAATAGAAAGTACATATTAAGTATTAATAACTAATTATTGTACAATTAAAGAAGGTGTATAGCCAAGAATACAAAGAAATACATATTACTATGTGGCAAAAATCATGGGTAAATGTATGATGTCAATTAATTTAAATCTCAATTTGAGTTAAGTTGCCAACTTGACAAGGTGAAGATGTCGACCTGTAGCATGAAGTTGCCTAAATGCAGGGTGAAATCGCTCAGTTACTGGGTGAAGTTGCCAACTTAACCATGCATGTTAGATAGCTTGCTGGAAAATAGAATAAGTGCTAGCTAGTAGCTTCTAATATTAGGAAAGTAGATTAATCACCTAGCGAGTTCAATGTGATCCAAACGATTTGTTTTATATTAGCCTCTTATTCTGCCAAGTTATCCTAAATTGGATGACTTTGCTTGAACCAAGCACTTGAGATATTTCAATATACAGGATGCATATCATGCTAATGGGGATATGTAGCACACACCAAAATTTCAATCCAAGATGTGATAATTTGATGTGCCAAAATTTAACATGGAAAAAATTAGAGGTACAACGCAGAACACCCAAAGATGGTATTATGGTGGAACATGCATAGCTCAATATTAATCTAATTTTCATCATAGAAAATAATGACAATAACTCAAAGAACCAATCCCTAAACATGGAATTTACATGACACTAACTATATAATTCTTTTTTTTTATTTACACATCTATCATCTATATCATTTTTACTTATATAATATCCTAATTTCTAAATGATATCAAAAACAGCACTAATGTTAACTTATCTAAAATGAGATATATATTTTTCCTACATATGTTTTGATGGCAATTAAACACTAGGATAAATATAAATATTTATGTTGTAGATATGTAAAATACATAAGAATTTAGTGGTATGTATGAAAATTCCCCATAAAATTAATTCAGCCTCTAACTTCAACAATTGTAGTCATACACTTCCATCACTCCACATGCATAATAGCCAGTAGATTCACGTAGTCAGCAATAAAAAAAAGAAAGAAATTACATGAGAACCTGAACTACTAAAACAGCTAAAATAAATCAGAATACACCTGTGCTCCCCAAATATAAGGATGAGGTGGAGGACTTGAGCCCACGGCTGAATGGAAGAACCCAGGGGGCGGGATTGGTGAATAAGCCTAATTAAGCAAAGATTATTAAAGATAAAAGAACTGAAATATGCAACTTAAAATAGCATAGATTTTATCATGTAAGAACCTGAAAAGTAGACCAATCAGGATAAACCGGTGTGGCAGGGGTAGTGCTAGTAACTGAAGGCTGCTCCTGGACAAAGAAAACGCTCACTTTCAATTGCAGCGGTATGAACATGAAACACTATGTAGACAGGATATCAATAACCTACTTGTGCAGCTAACGCCTTCGGAGCTTTCGAAGGAGTGTCCGCCTCGCTGTTCCCCATGAACACAAAATCCCTCGCACTATCACCCAAGATTCATACCATGCCGAGAAAACTCCAGCCCCAGCTTAATTGATGGATAAGTACCCAACCAGCTAAAACCCTAGCTCATCCAAGATCAACAAAAGCAAAACTATTACAACAATCTTCAAAACTTTAAGCGTATAAAAAGTTGTATAGAGCAAGATGAAGATTACCCTACCTGCTTGGATAGAAAACGTTACATTTCACAAGAAACCCGATCGATCAGATCTGGAATTGAGATCTCCGTTGAGTAACTAAACAATGAAGAATGTAGCAGAGATCCAGAGACTGAACAACTAGGTTAAACT